CTTTTCGTTATTTAACTAGGGACTTATTTTGTAATACCTTTTCGTTATTTAACTAGGGACTTATTTTGTAATACCTTTTCGTTATTTAACTAGGGACTTATTTTGTAATACCTTTTCGTTATTTAACTAGGGACTTATTTTATAAATATCTCTTGCCTGACAAACAAACTTGGAAATATTACATGCATAATATGGAGATATACTGGATGTATATATTTATCAATTTTGTTCTTACATTACAAATGACTCTTAAAATTCATATTACAGAAATATTAATATTATGAAAAATGTTAGTTTTTAGTGTTGAACTGAATGTTAAAGTATGAAATTTAATTAGAATAATTCTTTTTATAGGCAATCAGAAACTTTGGAGAAAGTGAGTACTTCCATAAGCAGTTTTTACTGTATGTTATGTCCCATACTAAAAATTATAAATACACTCCATATTATAATTTTTGTAAATATAAATATTTTTCCTTAAATCTTAATGTATACTAAATAGATATTAGTTCTCATTTTCATTTGTCCATAACTTTTCTTAAAGATAAAAATGCAAGGTCTAGAGAAGGGATTATTTTGTTTTTTGTTTCACCAAGCTACTACGTACAAGATAAGTTTCAGTAATTACCATAGAGTGAGGTTAATCAGTTAACAGAATAACACTGGACAAAACTTAATACCAATAATTGAAGCTTTATTGAAAAAATAAAATAACATAAATTTTACAATTTTGTCTGATCAAATCTGTCCTTGAGAAAGTGCTTTTGAAGAAATAAAACAACTAGTACTGGATATATATTGTTTTAATTGGACAATTTTATTATATTAGTCCATCCAGTTAAGAATATGTATGGACACAGAAGACATTCAGTTTCTTCAGCAGTTAACCCAAACCACCAGGAAGATGATCCTAAGTCTTCTGGGCTGCCTTCCACGGATGATGGTAATATTATTGTAGCTTATGAGGAAGAATATGTGTAAAGTTGATTAATCTCAAGTCTACTTGCATCCTAGATATAAATATAGACAAGTGTTAGTAGGAATTAATTTAAATAATCATTTTAATGATGCCCATTTTATGTTGTAAATGCTTTATTTATAAACTACACCATTTGAAGATAATTTGAAAATACATCATATTTATACAGATATAATGAAATTGTAAATTTAGACCAAGTACCTGATTTGCCAATATAACCAGACATAAATTTTATTAGAACCGACTTAAGCCAGTTCAGTGACAGTTTAGTGTAACCATTATTAAATAACTTCTTTAAACATCTTGCAAGATTTCTTGAAAAAGAAAAAATAATAGAATGTTAATACTAGAAAAAGAAATTAAGTGGTAAATTTGAAATTACTACTAATGTCAGTAATCATGACCTAGCCATGTATTTAAATGTTTCTTATAGTGTCTTGCTAAATTGAGAAATGTAGTGAAGTTACTCATTAGAAAAATATTGATAAAAAGCATTATTTTAATAGTTATAGTGGCAAGTTGCACTGTGTAATATTATTCTAATATTAATTTTGATAAAAGAGTTCGCACAAAGGTTCACATATAAAGTGTAATAGACTTAAAATAAGACCCAAAACTCGAGCGCTTTCGAATAGTTGACTATTCTTCTTCAGGAGAACAAAGGGTATTCTTTGTTCTCCTTAAGCTCTAATATTAATATTTTTCTGTGTAATAGTACTCCAATATAAGTATATTTCTGTGTAATATTACTGTAATGTAAGTTTATTTTTGTCAACAAGTAAGTCCATTGTTATTCTAAAGCTTTTGGTATCAAGAATGTATGTTTTAAACAGCACTTAACAAGGTGTTGAAAGTAAATTTTAAGCTTTTGGAATCAAGAATGTATGTTTTAAACAGCACTTAACAAGGTGTTGAAAGTAAATTTTAAGCTTTTGGAATCAAGAATGTATGTTTTAAACAGCACTTAACAAGGTGTTGAAAGTAAATTTTAAGCTTTTGGTATCAAGAATGTATGTTTTAAACAGCACTTAACAAGGTGTTGAAAGTAAATTTTGAAATGATCAAAAACATTTCTTTGAATGTCTTGTCTTTCTTTGCAGATTCAACTGGGGCAGCAGTGTGTGTTCCAGATTCCACAGTCAATTTGGTAATTATAAATTATGTCTGTTACTCAACTTGTGTGACTTTTTCAATGATGTATATATAATTGTGATTTCACTACTCTAGTACATTTCTTAGAGCAAATAAACTTGAAGTGAATTTTTTTCATAAATAATTAATGTATTTTTGCAAAGATGAATATATTTATACCATGTAAATTAGCATGTTTATATTAGGTTGTCAAGAAATTAAGGTTGCATTTTGGAACACTTTCATTAACCACCCCCAAAAAACATACATCTCGTATAATAGTTAAACGAACTGCCTAAACATCACATTAGTGTAGCCTATATAATGTGTAAAGTTTAGTATACTCTAATCCCTTATAGTGGTGGCACAAGACGAGACAAA